AAAAAAAAAAAAAAAAGGATACAGTAAGTCAACTAGTCTGTGAATTTAGGTTCTTATGCACATATTTTGGACACCTGGTGTGGCATTGTAGGATCAGCACTGGACTATGAACCACAAGATTAGCAGTTGAAACCCATCAGCCACTCCTTGGAAACCCTATACAGAGTCGTTATAAGTCAGAACCGACTCGATGGCATTTAACAGCAATGTGAGCATATTTTACAGACTGAGCACCTTCAAATAGTTCTGACTAAAAGCTACCAGGACATAGATACAAACCCCTTTGTTAAATAGAAGACACAGTGTGTGAGCAGAAAACACTGGGTGACCATCAAACCAGCGACATGTCTACATCTCCTCATGTGACTGGGTCCACTGAGCCATTTGTCTAACATTTGAATTAGACTCCTGGCATTTGAGAACATCCAAATTTAATTCTAACGTTCCTGTGGCAATATATGTTCGCAGGAAGACCTGTATTCATGGCTTAAACTCCACAGATTTAGTACCAAGTTCATTCTTTTATATTATTCTCTTCTACATTTCTTACGTATTTCAATGCATTTAAGCTTTTCCATATGGCTGTGCTCCTAGAAGAGCAAATTAAGATTTAAATTTTTATAAATTAGATTTGTACTTGGAGAAGAGTAAACTATATAAATAAGCTGATAAGTATTAGCCAGTTGTACTGTAATCTTATGTTTGTTCCACTATTGCTAGCTAATTGCTTTAAAACTAAAAATATTCCCTGAAGCCTTAAACCCAAACAATAGTTCAGCGTAACTAGGAAAAAATGTTTGCCTTGAGCACCATGCTCTTTTGAGAACTGTTTCTATGGGATCAAGTCTATATGGGACAACAGCAACTCCAAAGATCAGATGGTAACCTTAGAGGACAGTGAGTTTATCTTAACGAAGTAGTAACAACTCAGAAAATTAGAATGGTTGCTTAACTCAGAATATAGTCAGTGTCACTAAGTGGTACATGTGAAAACCGTACTCAATGTCTTGAGGGAGTCACTGGGCCTTTGGACTCAGGACCATAACCTTAGGGGACACTAAATTCACTTGGCATAACATAGTCCACAAAGACTTTGTTCTGCATCCCATTTTGATGAATAGAGAGTAGGATCTTAAATGCTTGTGAACAGTCTTCTAAGGTACAATTATTGGTCTCTCCCTGTCTGAAGCAATGAAGAGTGAAGAAAATCAAAGATGTAAGGAAACAATTAGTCCATAGAACTAATGGGCCATGAACTAATGAACCCCAGACTTCACAACGCTGAGACCAGAAGAACTCGATGGTGTCCCGCTACCACTACTGACCATTCTGAAAGGGATCACAGTAGGAGGTCTTGGATAGAATGGGAGAAAAATGTGGACTAGAATGCAAAATCATAAAAAAGACAAGGCTTACTACTCTGATAGAGATGAGTGAAACACCCTATGGCCCTTGGACAACCTTCAAGCCTGAACTGAACTTACCCTTGTGTCTCAACTTTCAGCCAATTGATAGAGAGGCCTATAAAGTGATCAGGTAACACCAGAGAGGTTGAGTATGCAGAAAAATCAACCATAAGAAATCAAAAGGTCAGCATTTGCCCAGGGAAAAACTCAGAAGGCACAGAAGAACAGAGGCAAATATGATAAACACAGGAAGGAAGTGGGAAGAGTGCTTTTATATTGAGGGGATTGCAATTAATGTCTCAATACAAAATGTGTATGAATTGTTGAATGGAAAACCAATTTGCTCTGTAAACTTTCACCCAAATTCAGTTAAAAAAATAAAAAGAAACTGTTGGATTAGTATATAATTTTACTGTATTTATTCTCAGCAACCACAGCAAAATAAATACAATTATATATAGTTTTTGAAACTGTCTTCTAGTGATTACTGACAACTAGTATTCAACATTGTCCTATGCATAATATCTTCCTTGAAATTACATTAAATTCTATTTGTTCTTGAGATGCTGGGCCTGGGGACACACCATAGTCTCAGGATACCATGTTCAATTGGCATAATATAGCCCACAAGGGTAATGTTATAGTCCACATTCTACTTTGGTGAGTTGCTACGACGATCTTAAAAGCTTATGAAAGGCTATTTAAGGTGCAAACTATTCATCTCTCCATGTGCGGAAAAAAGAAGAGTGGTGTAAATTTGAATATGCTTGGAATCAACTAGTCCAGTGGACCAGTGGAACATGTATGTGTACATCAGTTACCATGACTCAGAAACCAGATGAACTATATGGTACCTGGTTACCACTACCAACTGCTCTGAAATAGATCACATTAGAATGCCCCAGATAGGGAGAAAACGTGGAACAAAACTCAAAATTATAAAAAAAAGATTGATCTTACTGGTCAGAGAGTGGAGAAACTGGACACTATGGCTCTTGACCACCCTTCAGGACTGGAACGGGATTCACCCTAGTGGCCCAATTTTCAGTCATGCAGTACCTAGTTATATAGAGGAGACAAAACACTATTAAGGTGCACTCACCATGGAACAGTCAATCACTCACAATCAGACGGCAACATTTACCTAGGGACAAAGTTGGGAAGAGATAGGAAGGAGGGTGAAATGGAAATAAGAATCACAGGGAGGGAGCAGGATGGCTGTTGTTATGATTAGTGTAAAACTGATGATCTTCTCCGTAAACTTTCACTCAATTCACAATTAAAAAGTTTACCAAAACAATAGTTTTAAAAAAATTCTGTTGCTCTTAAGGTGCCATTCCTTGGAAACCCTACACAAGGTCACAATGAGTTGGAACCGCTCGATGGCTCTTAATAACAACAACAACAAAACAATAGATTTAAAAGAGAGAAATGTACAAAATCTAAGATATATATGCTCAATTTCAAAAAATATCTTGAAGTGTAAGGATAACTGATAAATCTTCCCTAAAGGTTAATGTTTCCTGGTTAATATGGAAAGGAATTTGGATTAGAAAATTATCATATTTTTTTTATATTATTAAATTTATTATATCCCACAAGTTTAAAATCAGTTATAGTTATTTCTATTGAAAAATATTTGTTAGTTACAGTAATTTCTATTGAAAAATATTCTATTGAACAACTACTGCTCTTGTAGCGTAGTGATTACAAATCAGGCTGTGAACCTCAAGATCAGCAGTTCAAAACTACCAGCAGTTCCACGGGAAAAAGATGAGGTGGTTTGCTCCCGTAAAGATTTCCAGCCTCTGAAACCCTGTGTAGGGTCGCTATGAGTTGGAACCGACTCCACGGCACATAACAACAACTGCTAATTATCATAAAGCTTTAAAAATATTTAGAAAAAAACATGTTAATATTTTATCCCATATTTTCTTATTTGCTCCTCTATGACTTATACTATTATTGTTGTGAAGTGTCATCGAGTCAGTTCCAACTCATAGCAACCATTTATAGGGTTTCCGAGGCTTTGAATCTTCAAGGGAGCAGAAAGCCTCATCTTTCTCCCACGGTGCTATTGGCGGGCTCAAACCTTGAACCTTGCAGATCACAGTCCAGTGCTTATGCTATGGAAACAAAATTGTTGTGTGCTGTTGAGTTAGTCCTGGCTCATAGCAACTCTGTTTAAGGTGGCCAAAGCTCTAAATCTTTACAAGACTCAGAATCAACTTGGCAGCGGAGGGTTTTTATTATAAGAAAATGTATAAACGCCTGGAAGTAACTCATCTGTCTCTCTATCTCCCTCTCTTGTTTAAGACCTCGTTCAAGATCCAGAGATAGTGGAGACGAAAATGAACCAATTCAGGAGCGATTCTTCAGACCTCACTTTGTGCAGGCTCCTGGAGATCTGACTGTTCAAGAAGGAAAACTTTGCAGAATGGATTGCAAAGTAAGGATTTGTTATTGCCTGTGCCCTTCCTACCACACTTCTCCCCTCACCACCATTTCTCCACAGTTCCTTTTGAGGAAATGTTATGAAGCACACATCTTTAAAATGACATGCAGCTAAATCGAAAACCAGAAAAGTGAGTGAAATATACTGGATGATGTAGTATATGCCTTTTTTCATCATTCTTTTTGTACTTTTATTAAATAAATTTTTCACTCACAACCATGTGCAACATACTCCAGAGCGATACCAGGAGATTTTTTCCATTTAATTTTTCCATCTCATTGAAGTAATAAATTTGATGAATTTGCCATGGTGGCAGTGGTTAAGTGCTGTGGAGTCAGTTCTAATGCATAGCGACACTGTACAGGGTTTTTGAGACTGTAAATCTTTATGGGAGCAGAAAGCCTCATTTTTCTCCCGTGGGAACGGTTGGTAGTTTTAAACTGCTGACCTTGAGGTTAGCAGCCTGACTCGAACCATGATACTATCAGAGCTTAATCTTCATTATTTAATTTTGCTTTCCTGTATCTACTCCCCACACTTATTCCTTATATTTTCTATTTCTGAGAGAAGCTACAAGCACACCCTTGTTTCATCTATTTTACAGTTTGGCTTTTTCCCTGTTGTTTTACATGCGTTTTAACCAGAGCCCCAGGGTAGGCAAGCTTCAGCAGGTGTTTGAACGGTGAAATTGCATACAAAGTGCAGTGTGTGGTGTGATAATAGCTTGCATCAATTTCTGAAATGGGTGCAAGACCAAAATGTTTAAAAACCACTTCCCTGAAGTTTTGCTGTTGTTACTTTGTATCCCGCTATTTATTGACTCCTGGTGTGGTGCTGTAGAATCAGCTCTGGACTGCCAACCACAGGTTGGCAATCCAAACCAACCAGCTGCTCCTCGGAAACCGTATACAGGGTCGCTATGAGTCAGAACTGACTTGAAGTCACTTAACAGAAACAACAATTTATTGATCTAAAGTTTAAAGTTCAACTGAAATATAGGTAAGCTTTTTAAAAATTATTTGGGCTCCCTCTGCTGGTTTCACTAGGTATTGCAGAACATAAATATAAGCTGTTGTTAAATTGTT